CAGGCACCATCATCTGACTCAGCAGGTGGTACTTGCAGTACCATTGTCACACTTGACAGAATTACTGATTTTCTGGCATCATGTAATAGTCCATATTCCATATTCCCTAGCTGTAGCTGGTTTGTGTGTAAGGATTGTTTGATAGGCAAAAGTCAAGCCTCTCAAAGAAAAAGCAGCTTTTTCTAATTCCCCCAAGGGGGCCATGTGGGAGGTGATCCTGGATGGCCCTGTGGGTCATTTCCCAGTGTCTCTCTTCATCCACAGCTACTTCCATATTTGCACTAAAGGAGATCCAGCTACAAAAGGAGGCCAGCCTTCGGTCTTCATCAATGCCTGACTCAGGTAGGTGTGGCCCTCGCCCTCTTCCCTGCCCCAGCCACCTACCTGCTTACCCACCAACAGCCATCCGCTCTGCTTCCCCCTCCAGGCAGGCCAGCTTTCCGCGTGGTGGACACCGAGTTCTAAGCTGAGTTCTAAGCCACAGACCGAGGCCCCAGCAGGCAGCAGCTGGAGGGATGCCACTCCCCTCACAGGGCAGCCCCCAGCTGCATCCTCCTCGCTTGCTGCCTGCCTACCTGCCTGACTCATGCTCGCCTGCCCACATGTTCCCGCTGCCTGTCCAAACACCCGACCATTGGCCTGTCAACCCACCCACTGGCCTGTCTGCTGGGTGCTAACAAAGCTCTCATCGCTCCTTCGCCTGGTTTGTCTGTCTTGTCTGTCTGTCTGTCTCTGTCTCGGTAGTTGCCGGCGGACAGCATGGCCGTGCCAGCCTCCCACGCTGAGGCCAGGCCTTTCCTCCCCTCCCCATCATACCCTCCCCCAGGACCACTACCCCACGGCCAGCCAGGGGTCCGGAGCTAGCCTGGGCTGGGGAATCTCGACTCAGACAGGATGTGGCAATGCCTTGGGTCTGAGGCTTCCCCTGCCTGCTTTCTTGCCTGCCCCACCTGCCTCATGTTGTGTGGGCCTTTTTTTATTTGTTTCATTCATTGTTGTTTCTAATTATTTTAAATGAGGTTTTCATTTTTTAAATGCAATATCTCTGTATACAGACTGGCTGGGCCCCACCCCCTGCGTGTGGCCCTCCCACAGTATTTTGTGCAATGAAGCCCCGCTCCCAGCCTTTCCAAGGCAGGGACACAGCCCCTTTTTGGAACCCTGACCATCACCAGACCCTGGGGTCGGCTAAGGGAAAGCATGCCTTGACCATTCGCCTTCCTACCCCCCTGCTCACCATCCTCGGCCGCAGGGGGACCTGCGGACTACCGGAGACTCTCTGGGAGGTGGACGAGGTGGGGGGCCCCCACTCTTTCCCTCCTGCAGTCCCATAGCTGGGGCCTCCTTCCTTCTCAGGGTCTCCTTAGCCCAACCCTCCCGCCCCTGTCCCACTCGGTGCTGTTGAGTAGGGCCCTGCCAGGAACTGACCAACTCTTCAAGGAGCCATAGTGTGTATATGTGCACAAGCAGGGGCAGAGGGGTGCATGGGGTCCGGGCCCAGGTGTTATCCCTGAACCCCTGGGGAGGGTGAGGCAGGGCAGGGACAGTGTCTGGGGTCAGTCCCAGATGGGTGGTTACTTCCCATCCTCCACTCTAAACCTGGGGCCCTCAAATTGGGTGGGAGGGCTGGGGTGGGGGCCCTCCTAGTGGGGTTTGGGGGGTTGGGTTCCTGAATGCACCATAATCGCTGTATGAAATATTAAAAAGTCTAAAGTGAAAAACCTGATTGCAAGTCCCTGCAGGGGCGGGTGTGGGCTCAATCCATGGTGAGTTCTGGGACCTTGGAGAATTTGTAACTGGTCTCCATCATCTAGGAGAGCACTGAGGTGGGCCAGGGACATGGCATGACTATGTCCACGCAACAGTGGAACATTGTGTTGAAGCAGGTGGGGCAGGCTGAATAGAGGATGAACTAAAAATCAAGCAGAGAGAAAAGAGTGAGATTCATCCAAGTGTATGAGGAAGCCAGATGGTGGGAACCGGTGTATGTAGAGGGGCTGTTTGTTTGCAAGACACTTGGGAAGGCCCAATAAAACCAGGAGGTAGGGAGGAGAGGCCCAGTATGACCACATGTCAGAACTGGACACTGTGAGGCAGGCCAGTGGGAGAGGAGGGTAAATTTTGGACCACTGAGTAGGTAGGGGAATCCTTTAAATGGGTTAAATTCAGAGATGGGGCCACCAATGGATGGAACTAGAAGTTTCGATTATTGGTGTCCAGGAAGTAACAGAAAGCATGGGCATGGGTGAGATAACCCTGAGAAGGACGTGATGCCTACTCCAGGTAATAAGGCTGCTTACTGTAGTCCAGTGGTGGAGGCCCGAGGACCACTAATCATTCCACTGTGCCCCTGTAAGCATTTTGGCGATATCTCAGCCTACAGTCTTAGTTCCATGATGGCTGCCATGTTCCCAGAGATGGGAAAGCAAGTGAGGAAAACAGGACATCTATCCTGTCTTATTACCTTGTAACAGGGCTGAACCTTCCACAAGCTCAGCAGACTTCCGGTGCCGTTCTGTGGCTAGAATAAGATGATATGGCCACCTCTGGCAGCAAGGGAAGCTGGGAAGACAAGGACCTTGTAAAGGGAGGCAGGATTGCCAGGCCAGACTTTTTAAAAGGACTAGAATTCACACAACTGCTCTGGGAAGTGGTAGGGTCATTGGTGTGTGCAGAGGTGGGCCTTTGGAAGGTGAGGAAAGCAAACAGTCTAGGCCTGGGGATGGGAGACCTCTTGCTGAACTCTAGGAAGGACAGGCTACCCAGTAAGTGAGGAGGAGAAGTCTGCAGAGGGGCAATGAGGAGAGGCAATTCAGAGAATCTGACAAGATTCAGCTGGTCATGAAGACCAGCTACTTGCCACGTGCCAGACTCTGTGCCATTATAGAGACCCCAGGGTGAAAGGGCTAGTCTCATCTCCCTCAGAGTTTACACAACTGAGCTGTAACCCCTCAGCTGTGCCAGGTCTGGGCTAGGGGCTGGAATCACAGTAATAGAGACATAATCCCTGCTCTATAGAGGTTAACTGAAAATTGAGGTAAACTACGATATACAGTGGATGGGTGGGGCTTGAAATTGTGCAGGGAGAGAGAGTGTTCTGGACACTCCAGGTTCAGGGAGCTGTGTGCACCAGCCTAGAGGTGTGGGAAGGCAACCGGTGGTCTTGCTTGTGGAGATGGGTGGTAATAAGGAAGTCACTGAACCAGAGCCACAATCATCAGCTTGTCTTAGGGAGTATATAGGACGGTCAGGTGGGGGCAGCCAATAGGCAGGTAGATACAGGAAGCCAGAGCGCGAAATACTCAAATTACCAAGAGGAAAGGCTGGAAGCCCCAGCAGATGAGGATGGCAGAGCCTAGTGCAGTGGTTCTCAACCAGTGATCTCCATTCCTGAAGAACACTGGCAATGTCTGGAGACACTTTTGGGAATGAAACAGGGCATGATAACTTGCTATTCAGTGGGGAAAGGGCAGTGCTTCCTACGACAGAGAAGGGTCAATGGCGTTTAGGTTGAGAACCCCTGGCCTGGTGCAATGGTTCAAAACTTTTTGGTCACGATCCCCTTATAGTGTTAAAAATTGAGGACATCTAAAGAACTTTTGCTTATGTAACCTCAGAATATTACACCACACATGCAAGAAAGAATGACAATGAAAAAAAGTATTGTGAAGATAGTTTTGACTTTGTGAACCTTCCTGAGAAGGTCTCCTGAACCAGTAAGAAGACTGGAACCACAGTTTGAGATCTATGGCCTGGTGCTTAAGGTCACAGCTCTGATTTCGAACCACAGCTCAGCCATTTACTAGCCGGGACAAAATGAACTAACGTTTCTGGTCCTCAGCTTGCCCCATTGAAGTCCAAAGGTGACAGGGATATTTATCTGCTGCCTAAGGCTACTATTTACATGCAATAAAGCACCTAAACAGGGCCAACTATTACAAGTTATCATTGCTATAATGCCAACAAATACACTGGGCTCGAGGCCGACTTGCCTTCAACACGTTTGTCAAGAAAATAAATCTAATTCAGGCAGGGAAAGCCCGCAGGCCTGGGTGGTGATCTTTCTTGTACCAGGTTTTGATGGATGAGAAGAGCAGTGCAATGAAGGTAGGGCGTTCTGGTCAGCTTAACAAAAACTCAGGGCAGGGGCCCCTGTTCCCCAGCAAAGCACGGGACCGAGAAAGCCCGGAACCTTTGTGTCCCTGAGCATTCCCCAAAATGTCTTCGTCCATATCGGGGACCTCCGCCTGTACCTTTCCACACAACCTTTTACCCAGACTCAACATGGCGTTAAAATCCTACAAGGCACCTTTGTCTTTCTTGGTTCCCAACTGGAGGTTTTACCCCGCCCATTAGCCGCAGAGATCACCGCCCACAGTCCGATGCCTGCCTAGCCCCTCCACGCGTCCGACCGTGGGGTCCCTTTCCAAGATGGCAGTAGCCCCCTGGCCATTTGGGGGGCTCTGTTTCCGTTTCCGGGATCAGAATCCGGAAGTGGCCGTTGAGGGGCCTCTTCCCATCTCCAGATGCGGTAGCTGTAAGAGGAGGGCGAACGGCGATGGCGGCGGTCGCAGCGAATGTGGCGGCTGCGGCCGAGGACCAAGAGCCGCAGCGCGAAGCTGTGCCGGGCCTCGAGAGCCAGCGGCTCCAGATCGAAAACGGCGAGAGTGGACGAGGGCGTCCACTGCGGGCCGGCGAAAGCTGGTGAGGCAGGGTTGCGAGCGGATCCTCGGCAGAGGGGGGACAAGCGGGGGCGTAGGCAGCTGCGGGGGACGTGGCGGCCGAGGTCCGCAGAATTATCGCGGGGGTGGGGGAGTGGCCTGTGGGACTGCGGGCGGGAAGGGCGGGGAAGTGCCTGAGAGTGGATCGCCTTGTCTGGGAAAGGGGCGGGGACTGTATGGTGGCGCCGGAGGCCTGAGAACAGGAGAGGGTTTGTTTGGGAGAGGCGGCGGGGGCGAGGCCGGAGAGGAAACGGTTACGGGGGTGGGGCCGGGCCTGCGTGGTGGAACTCGGAACCTGGGAAAGGGCGGGCTAGGCGGCCGAGGCCGAGGGGCGTGGTCTGCGCGGTGTTTAAGTAGCATCTGGCTGCAGGGGCGGCCTGCGGTTGCCTGGCGCCTGAGAGCTAGGGAAAGCGAATGACGTCAGGCAGAAAAGCGGGATCCGAGCCTTAGGGCTGTGGGCGGGAGGGAGGGAATCGGAGCCTGCGTGGTGGAGGGAGCTGGCGCCTGGGAACGAGGCTTGTGACGTAGGCCGAGGGGCGTGTCCTGAGGCCGAGGAAAGACTGCAGAGGGGAGGTGGTGCCTGTGAAGCAGAAAATGGCGCCTGCGAATGAGCAAAGTTTGTGACGCGGCGAGGTTTTTGCCTCTGGCTGAGGCCTTCTTCCCAGGACGGGAGAAAGTGCAGGTGATTGGCACGGGAGGGGCCTTCGATGTTACATCTGTTTTCTGTTTTAGTACTGTTTTGTTTTTGTAATCAGGAGAAATAGCTATTTTAAAAAAATGTCAATGCGTATCTTGATAAATCCGCTTGTTTTACTGATTTCTTGGCTAAGTGCTTGAAATGTACTGTTTCTGGGTTTATTTTATTTTCTCGCCGAGTTGCATCTCATTTTTAAAATTGTGATATACGTAAGACCTAACAAGATCGCATAAAACGTTTACGTAGCCCAGGTTGATGGACATTCTGTAAAAAATACACGGCCTTTGCTCTTCAAAAATTTCAAGGTCGTGAAAGACAAAGGATGAAGAACTGTTCCAGATTAAAGGAATTAATGGAATTTAAAGAGTCATAACTAAAATGCAATGTGTGGTCCTGGATTGGATCCTGGAGCAGAGAAAAATAAATTATTTTTTAAAATCAGGGTTTTTTCTCATAAAATTAATTTTCTCTTTTTTTACTGTAAAAGATGTTAATGGGGAAATTGGTGAAATTTGACTGGGACTTGTAGATTAGATGTCAGCAGTGATAATTTCTTGATTTAGTTAATTGTGCTGCGATTATGAAAGAGTATCTTTTTTTTAAGGGAATACATACCGAAATTTTTACGGATAAAGAACCATCTTGTAAGCAGCTTACTCGCAAATGGTTGGAAAAAATAGCGTACATAAAAATGTATGTAAAGAAACAATGATGGGGCGAATGGATAAATGTTATATTTGGGGAATCTGGATGAAGGGTATACGGGAATTCTTTATATTATTTTTGCAATATTTTTCAGTCTATATCAAAGTAAAAAAATCAAAGAATAATAAAACAAATTTGTGAATTCACCATTCATCTTAAAATTCAGACCGTTAGCTTAAGAAATCCTGTGCCCCTCTCGGGTGAAAATCCCTCTCCGTGCGCCACTGTTAGCCTGAATTTTTCAATTTGTTAACGTTTTTCCATTTCTGTATGCATCCGTAAGTAGTATTTGTGGTCTAAGCTTTCATTTTATGGAGGATACATGTGAAATCATACTAGATGCGTACCGTGTGCCCTTCGCATCATATCAGGTGGTACATGGTATCCACATGACGTCATTGGTGACGTTAGCCTTGATCATTTGGTGAGGGTGGTATCTCTGCCCTGTTTCTCCACTATAAAGGTACTCTTTTTTTTCTTTCCTTACACGGTAATTCTTTTAAAAACATATTTCTGTCCATCCATTTCTCAAAACGTTTTAACAGATTCCCATCTCGTGTAGTGTAAATGCTTCGATTCTTACAATGACTGGCGAGGCTGGTCCCGGGCTCTGATTGCTTCTCCGATCTCGCCTCTGATTTCCAGCACGCGCACGCGCGCGCACACACACACACACCCACACACCCCCACACCCCCACCCCCACCCCCAAGTTCTCTCCATCCGGCCATATTGGACCCTTGCTGTTCCTGTAATACCGTGGGCATGCACTCACCTGAGGGCTTTTCTGAGTGAGGTTTGCTCATTTTAGAGTTCTCTAGTCACAGTGCTAGTGAGATATATGTGTCCCTTGTTACTTGGGAGTAGGACAAGCTGAGGTTCTCCAAATAGGGAATACGAAATCTTTTTTTTTTTTTTTTTTTTTTGAGTGTTGTGCTGTAGCCATTCAGCAAGGAAAAGCCTCATTCCATCCTGAGAATAAACAACAGTTACTGGAATGTTTTTTATAGTTCATTTGGATGTGTTCAGAGGGGGTTGGGGGTTCCTGTTCCTGCCCCATCCTGCCTTTACAGCCTCCTGGTGACAATACCCTTTAAAATTACCTCATGGGTATGGGTTGCCTTTCAGGGTGTTGAAAATGTTTTGGAACTAGATAGAAGTCGCGGTTGCACAACACTGTGAATGTACTAAATGCCACCGAACTGTTCATTTGAAAATGGTTAATTTTATGTGAATTTTTAAAAGTATGTTTTGTCAATAAAAAAAAAATTACCCCACCAATGTTGGTTCAATATTGAAGCCAGTTCATCTCTGCAGTTGTGGCTGATAGATAACATGAAGCCTTTTTCCTTAACATTTAAAAAATGCTTATCTACTTAGGTGAGAGCAAAGCATCTCAAGGTTCTTTAATTTGGTTTTCATTTTATAGGGGTTTGCTGCAGTGGTCAGGAACCGTGTGTTTACAAAGCATTTCGAAGTCATGAACGAATAATCCCTAAGTCATTTAATACCAGTATTAATATTTTTAACCTTCTTTTGTCAGCTAGCAGGTCTGGGCAAGGGCAAGTAATCTGGCCATCTGAACTGATTTAATTTCTAGGAAAAACTTGTATTTTAATAGTAAATTGAAATCTATGATAGTAAAACTTCCTTGGCAAATACCAATTTTTCTTTTTAAGAATGAACTATCTACAAACATAATTAAGTCAGGGAGAGTGGAGGGAGTTTCTAGAAGGTTTGTGCAGGGTGTGTGTAGTTTCCTAACAGGTAAGCAGGCAAGGAGTTCTCTGTTCAGGTAAAGGAAGGAGTGTGGCACAGTGGATAGTGATGTGTGAAGGGAAAGTGACAGTGTTCCATTCCAGATTAAGGGCTACCCTAGAAATGCTGAGAGTTTTCTGTCAATGGAGAAGTCTGCACAGCACCAGGGACCATAGAGTGTAATGAAGACCCTAGAACTCAACCAGCAATTTTCACCATTTGCTTGGTGACTGCTGCAGTAGCTCTTAAACAAGGTGGATATGCTTTGACTTCTGGAACTAATGAAAGACTGAAATAAACAATAGGCCTCTGGCAATTCCCTTGTCATTGAGTCAGTCCCCCTAGTGCTTGTTCAGACTTTTCATGAAGGGGGTGGGGTTGGGAGTTTAGAGTCCTGAACTAGGGCATCTTTTGGTATATAGAAATTGCACCAGTCTTTGTTGCTTGAACATGAGTATGCTTTTTAGCTTGAAAATACACAATTATTGAAAGATATTTGCAATTCTAATTACGATTAATATAATTAAGGTAGGAAGATAAACTTGCTTTTTGATTGGTCATTTTTCAAAAATACCAAGTTTGTTAAAGTGTACACTTACCGCGATGAGCACTGGGTAATGTATAGAATCATTGAGTCACTATATTACACACCTGAAACTAACTGTGTTAACTTTACTAGAATTAAAATTAAAAACCCAATAAAATTTAAAGAAAATGTTAAGTTTGGAACATGAATGAGCTTTTATAAAAATTTTAAGTTCTTTGAAATTTGGAGAATTTTAATTAAACCTAGTTATGCCTATTGCCATTCATTCCTTTTACAGGGGGACAGAGCAAATCTTTGTGTTATCTCCCAGAGGTGTTTTTGCCATAAAAGAACATTTTAATAGTATTATTATTCTGAATTGGGGAAAGACAAATCAAAAATAGTTGTTGGGGGAAAAAAAGATATAAATTGAAGTAAGGACAAAAAATACTTATAGTCAACTTTGTAGAAATGCAGTGATAAATAACAAAGATGATTAGAAGCCTAACTTTTTTGATGTCAGAAAACACGTAGGGTTAATAATTTGGTGTTAAAAAAGGACCTTATAATCTGGGCATAAAATAATGACGTTTTACAGAAAAGGCCCAAATTCTAGTTTTCCTCCTTTGGTGCGTTATGGATGTAACAATTTACAGTAAAGGATTCATTTACATGCCTCTGTATACATCTATTTAGGCCTATATGGATATATAAGTGATAAACTTAGAACAACATAGTACTACGTTTACTGTCTGAATAGGCTGACAAAGCTTTTAATAAACAAATAGGAAACCCTACCTCCTCTTTAATATCCATATTTCTGTTTCTCTCTGATTTTTGTACCTAGTATAGTTGACTTGTTATGTATATTGTTATCTTAACCAATATAACCAATTTTTTCAATCATGAGAGAAAACCAGAGGACAAAGAACTTTGTTGAGTGGTTTTTTTCCCCCATAAGCACATATTTCGTAAGCACTTCAGGAAATTTGAGGAAATAGAAACATACGTGACTTTAGCATGATCTGTTTTATTCCTATATACTAGCAGGAAGAAATTGAAAAATGAAAATTTAAAAGATAACATTTATGATTGCTTCCTCTTGATCAAATACCTAGGGGTAAATCTAACAATGTGTGTGCTTCTCTATCAGACGATGGCAGTTCTGTCATGACTGCCATCTGGGCTGACAGATCATGAGACATCCCAATTTCAGAGATGTTAAACATTTTTAAAGTGTCCTTGAACCTGAAGAAATCTGGTAGTCTTATTCTGTGAAAATTGCTTTAAACTTCAGGCTCCTGTGAAGACTTTAGAAATTCAGGTACGAGGGATTTTGCTCACCTCTGCAGTGTGATTTTTTTTTTAATTGCTGTATAGTTGATACACAGTGTTACATTAGTTCCAGGTGTATGCTACAGAGTGGTTTTAATGTTAATTTTCCTTAAAAATCTGCTCTTCATTCAAGGATGAGCAGTGCCTCCCCTTGCAAGGAAAAGCTTTAGGGAAGACGTTAAGGTCATAGACCTGCCAGGGAGGCATTGAAAGCCAGCCACAGCAGGGAGGGGTGGGGGTCAGTGATGGGGTGTTCCAGAAGAGTGATGGGAGGTTTGTAGCATGCGCCACTGGGGCAGGGAGGGCGTGTGTTCCTGGTATGAGGGATGTGCAGGGGGGTCAGTGCAGCAAAACAAACAACCCCACCAAAATGTGTGCCTGTGTGGGTGACGCATGACTGTTGCAAGATTTTCTAGCCCTCCATCCCTCCACCTCCCTCATCCCTTTATGAACACGGGAAAAGATGCCATTTTAAAGAATCCCACTGAAAGGGTTAAATTGCTAGAACACTAATCACTACAGCGCGAGAATAATATTTTTAAAAATTGTTTATTTGAGGCGGTTAACTTTGGGACAGCCTCTTATATGTCACAAATCCCATAGCAGAGCAGATGTGTGACTGAGTGTGGACAGGGGTTGTGTGTCTGTGAGCTTTGAGGTCCAAGCCCTGGGACTGAATCAGTAACGGCTAACATTCATTCAGCATTTTTACTCTATGTCAGGTCTTTCTGGTCTTGAGAATTGCCCTTGACATTTTACAGAGGCAGCGTTCAGCCGTCCTAAATGTTCATCCTAGGTGTCATGCATATCAGAGTTCCTCTTTTAAAAGAGAGCTGGTCAAGCTGTACACTTTAAAATGGTTCAGGTGGTAAATTTTACGGTATGTGCTGCTTTTTGCCACAATTAAAAAAAAAAGAGAGAGAGGGACGCCTGGGTCACCCAGTCGGTTATGCGTCTGCCTTCTGCTCAGGTCATGATCCTGGGGTCCTGGGATCGAGCCCCGGGTCAGACACCCCACTCAGTGGAGAACCTGCTCCTGCTCTCTCTTATTATCTCTGTCTCTCTCTCAAATAAATAAAATCTTAAAAAAAAAAGAACGAGCTAGTTACCATAAGCTCAGAGATCTATTATAAAGCCGAAATAAATCCTCAACACAAATGTGATGAAAAATGGTGGGATGCAGTCTTTGAAGGAGTTCTTTTAGCATTTTAAAATCTTCTGTTTCTGGGGCACCTGGGTGGCTCAGTGGGTTGGGGCCTCTGCCTTCGGCTCAGGTCATGATCCCAGGGTCCTGGGATCGAGCTCCACGTCGGGCTCTCTGCTCAGCAGGGAGCCTGCTTCCCTTCCTCTCTCTCTGCCTGCCTCTCCGCCTACTTGTGATCTCTCTCTGTCAAATAATTAAATAAAATCTTTAAAAAAAAATCTTCTGTTTCTGAGCAGGTTTCCAGAATTTAATAATTGATTTCTTATTCTCCCTTTATATATCCTTTATAAACATTGCACATTTAACGAGTGGCTAAAAGCTCTACATTAGCTGTAAATAATGGATAATTTTCAGCCTAATTCTTTGTTGTATAATAAAACCTCATACTTCCTGGCACTCTGGATGTGGGTTTGTGGTTTGTTTTGTCTTGTTTTGTTTGGGGTTTTGCCATTTTCTGTTTTTGTTTGTTTTTATTTTTATTTTTTTAAAGATTTTATTTATTTATTTGACACAGAGAGATCACAAGTAGGCAGAGAGTCAGGCAGAGAGAGAGAGGAGGAAGCAGCCTCCCTGCTAAGCAGAGAGCCCGATGCGGGGCTCGATCCCAGGACCCTGGGATCATGACATGAGCCGAAGGCAGAGGCTTTAACCCACTGAGCCACCCAGGAGCCCCCATTTTCTGTTATTAATCAAACCTCTTTTAGTGTCCTCAGAAATTAGGTAATCTGTTTAAACCTGAGTTTTGCTGAATACATTTTGCTTCTGATTATTTTTATATGAAGGTGAAGCTTTTTTTTAATTTTTCATGTTAAGTTCTGGGAGAGATTTCCCTTTTTTATTGAGCTATAATTGACATATCCTGGTATTATTTTAGGTGTATATGAAATTTGTCATGTCGACTGGCAGTGTGTTGATCCTTTTAGTCTACTAAACATGGGAAGTGGTACCACTAACTCCAGGTAACCATGTGCCACCCTTGTTCCCCGTCTGGTCCAGGTTCCTCGTGGAGCAGCACTGGTACAAACAGTGGGAAGCATATGTGCAGGGAGGAGACAAGGACTCTGGCACCTTCCCAGGCTGCATCAATAATGCTGACCTCTTTGAAGGTACCAGGCCTCTCCCTCCCCACCCCAGTCAAGCCCTGGAGCTCTTGTCCCCTCTGTCCTTACAGCCAACGATCATATGCGTCTTTACTGACCTATGTCATCGGGGAGATGGCCAGAGTGACTTATCACTTTCCCTCCCTGATTCTTCCTCTGCCCCCGGCAGACCAGGTAAACTGGCACCTCAAGAAGGGTCTAGTGGAAGGTGAGGATTATGTGCTGCTCCCAGCGGCAGCTTGGCATTACCTGGTCGACTGGTACGGTCTAGAGCATGGCCAGCCACCCATCGAGCGCAAGGTACAGTGGATGAGGCGGGTGCTCAGGGCAGGAGAAAGGCCTTGGAGGCCCAGGATGGGTCTAGACTCGTGTACGTGGGTCCCCGCATACGCTGTGTAGCGACATCCTGTCTGCACTCCTCTCCCCTCAAGTATCTTGGTGTGTGTACGTCTGTGTGCACGCTCATCTGACCTCAGAGGTTGTCATGCCTGTGTCTGTCTGCTGTGTGGGTACACCCGTGTGCGCGCCCCTCCTCCTCCCAGGTTGTGGAGCTACCCAGCGTCCAAAAGGTCGAAGTGTACCCAGTAGAACTGCTGCTGGCCCGGCACAGTGATATGGACACAACCCACACTGCTCAATTCAGCCGTACGGACTCTGTTGGTAAGTTGGAAGGCCACAGAGTGAGTCGGCCTTCCTGCAGCTCGGTGACCCAAGACAGCCGGGGCCTTGTCTGTGGCCGACTGGGAAGGCAGCGGTCGGGCTTTGGAGGACCAGAAAGGTATCATTTTAGTTGGGCAAAGGCCCTGAGGGCGTGCCCTAGAGTCCTGAGGGGGTGTGAGCTGCTCTCCCGTGGCTAAGATGGTATGCTATAGGGTCCTTGCTGGGGGTGGTCTCGGGTCCCCAGCCGGCATCTGTCACTCGGAGATGGCTCGGGCACACAAGGTATCGACCAGGCGTGCAAAGTCTGAGGATGGGTCAGGGGCTAATGCCGAGATGGGTCGATCATTCAGGGTCTCAGGAGGATCCTCTGCCACCTTCCACAGACCTCGTTCTGCGTACCGCCCGAGAGCAGTTTCTGGTGAACCCCCAGGAAGAGACACGGCTGTGGATCAAGAACGCCAAGGGCTCTTTTGAGAGATTGTGTAACACACGAGTCACAGTGCTCGACGCTGCCCTCAAGACTGGGCAGGTGAGGGTGGGGAGCGCCCTCCTGTTCACCACCAGTGCTCTTAGGCTGGGGGAAGGGAGAGTGAGGTGCCCATAGGCCCTCCATGAGCGCCTGCTTTTCTTTCTCTTCCTCGACCCAGGTGGTCATCATGGAGACCCGAAACAAGGATGGCACTTGGCCCAGTGCCCAGCCACAGGCCGTGTAAGCCCCTAGAGTGTCTGGGTCAGAGTGGGGTCCCCCTTTAGGCAGGATGACTGCATTCATGAGCCCATTTCATGTGCACACCGTTGACCTTCAGCTGATAAGCATTTCCCCTCTGCCCTAGGAACACTGCGTTGGAGGAGGATGAGAACTTCCAGGGCCAGCCAGGCATCTGTGGTCTCACCAACCTGGGCAACACGTGCTTCATGAACTCGGCCCTGCAGGTTGGGCGAGTAGAGTTGTGTCTGGCACAGCCACGAGGTTGGGCCTCAAGTGATGAGGATTGGGTTGGGGGACTGGAGGGCAAGGGGTCAGGTGGGAAGCTGGGGCTCTACAGGTTGGACCTGATGTGCCCGCGGTCCTCCCTGAAACATCAGTACCTTCTCCCTCTGCTCCCCTCTGTTTTGGGTTCTTTTCTCCTTTGTCACCACGTTCTTCCTTTTCTCGAGATGCTGCTGCCTTCTCTCCCCCGCCTCATTCCTCCCCCTTCTGTCTCCTTCCTCTTTGCTTCTTCCTCTCTGTCTCCACCCTGGTCACCCCTCTCTCCTCTTCTCTGCCTCGTTTTCCTGGGCCCTGCCTTCTGCAGTGCCTCAGCAATGTGCCACAGCTCACCGAGTACTTCCTCAAAAACCGCTACCTGGAGGAGCTCAACTTCTGCAACCCGCTGGGCATGAAGGGTGAGATCGCCGAGGCCTATGCAGACCTGGTGAAGCAGGCCTGGTCCGGCCACCACCGGTCTATCGTGCCTCATGTGTTTAAGGTATGACTCAGGCCTGGGCTGCCCCTACCCATGCACACCCCCCCACAGTGCCCACACCCCCCCACAGTGCCCCCGCCCCCCCTCATGCCCTCTCACCCTGACCGCCCTGCCCGTCTTCTCAGACCAAGGTTGGCCACTTCGCGTCCCAGTTTCTGGGCTACCAGCAGCATGACTCACAGGAGCTGCTGTCGTTTCTCCTGGATGGGCTGCATGAGGACCTCAATCGCGTCAAGAAGAAGGAATATGTGGAGTTGTGCGATGCTGCTGGGCGACCAGATCAGGTGGGCATTCCTCAGAGACTCCTGTGCTGAGAGCTCCATTAAAACCACCAGGGCCTCAGCTTCAGGGATCCTCTGGGCTCCCTGGGGCCTCCCACACCCTACCTGACCTCCCAGCCTGGGCCCCAGCCCAGAGTTGCCCCTTACCCAGTCTCCTGCCCAAATAGACCCCAGCCTATCTAAATACCGCCTCCGGAGAGCCCTGGCTATAACTCCGTCCCTGCACTTTGCCATGACCCTCACCTTAACTTCAGCTCCATGCACACCCACCCCAAGCTGCAGTTTCCCCTTCCCTGGGCAAACCTTGTCACCCACCATGACATTGTCAACAGGAGGTCGCTCAGGAGGCCTGGCAGAACCACAAACGGCGGAATGATTCTGTGATTGTGGACACTTTCCACGGTCTCTTCAAGTCCACGCTGGTCTGCCCTGACTGTGGCAACGTGTCAGTGACCTTCGACCCCTTCTGCTACCTCAGTGTCCCGCTGCCTGTCAGCCACAAGAGGGTCATGGAGGTCTTCTTCGTCTCCATGGATCCTCGCCGCAAGCCAGAGCAGGTATGGGGTCATGGAGATGTGGGAACGTGATGAGGGCTGTAGTCAGAGTTTGAGGGCTCTGCTGTACCTTGACGTGGCCCATACCGACTGACCACATGCCCTTCTGCTCTTGTGTGGATACCGTTTTCCCCTACAGCACCGGCTTGTGGTCCCCAAGAAGGGCAAGATCTCGGATCTATGTGTGGCTCTGGCCAAACACACTGGCATGTCGCCAGAGAGGGTGAGGCTCTGCAGGCACAGGGAGGGTGGGATTGAGGGACAGGGAGGCAGAGGGCCCGGACGAGTCCCCGCTGCATTCCATTCCCAGATGATGGTGGCCGACGTGTTTAGTCACCGCTTCTATAAGATCTACCAGCTGGAGGAGTCTCTGAGCAGCATCTTGGACCGAGATGATATTTTCATGTGAGTGAGGGCCCCAGGGATTTAAGGGTACCTCAGGAATCTCCTCCTCTTAGCCAGCTTCCCTGCCCACCTTTGGCTGGACTCACAGGCCACCCGCCTTGTGCAGGGTTTGGGTCATGGGCCTTAGTAGGGCAGAAGCCTTGGGGCTGTCAGGAAGGTGGGCGAGACATCCTTACACAGGGGGTTCCTGGGTGTTTTTTCCTTGTACGTAGTGGAGGCTCCTGTTTCTCCATTT